CCAAGAGTCACGGCAAGGGAGGGTTAAAACATACCATTCCACACACGTATTCCAGTTCCATAACATTCCCCACCCATAATTTGTTTGTTAGGATGTGTACCCATTTACTTTGTTTAATTTAGGGAATATCCTAAGTTTTGCACACCACACGTTTACATTTTGTGCCATTTTGCTACATTAATCATTATTTAACACATTTTTTTTAATACCGTTGAAGGAAATTCGCTCTCCCCCCCAAATGTCATGAAACTGCTGTCTTTTACCCCACTGGGCAAAAGATTTGTGCTGTGAACAGATGGACTGAAATGTGCTGGATTGCATTTTAAGGAATGTCTACCTTGGAATTTAACTCTAAAATTGTCAGATAAACAAGTCATCATTTTAAATCCATCTTTTTTTTTTATCTCACTTTAATGCACCTATTTTCACCTGGTACAGGGTATCGCGGCGATAATCGGATCCAAGGATATTACACAAAAAGCCTGACTAAACTTTTTTTTCCATGTCTGTCAGTATTATTTCAGAATTGTTTTTTTTTTTGTTTGTTTGTTTGTTTTATTTGTTTTCTCATTGAAGATTGTGTTGAATTTGACAGTGTGGTCATTACAGTTACAGAGCTCACCCCAACTCGTAATGAAATAAGAGCACGGTGGACCATGTGTAATCTTAAGAGGTGAGAAGGGGGAATTCACCCACATTTTTCTTTCCGGAAAAATCTTTTTTCTCTCCTGAATAATGAAGGACAGAAAGACCTTTTGTGCTCGTGGTACTGTTAACATGCTGTTGGACCTAAACCTCTTACACATACCGGTAGCTATGTTAGTAACACTTGTTGTATGCAGACCTTCATGCACCCCTGATGAGGTCCTCTGTCTAACTGAGACCCCTGCTGACTTTGTTGTCTTACTTTTAGCTTTATCATTATATCCAGCAGGCAGTCTGGTCCCCCCTGCAGGCAACGGTCAACATAATCTCTGAGACTTGTGATCTGGTCAATGAAGGGTTGGGTCAGGGACAAGACAAGGACAAAGAACCATTCTTTATTATTAATTATTGTCCAATGTATTTGAGATGTATTGATGCAGCTAATAAAAACCTCTCACTAAAAAGTTCACGAAACTGATTTTTTCCCCCCCTGGAAATACGTGTTATGATTATGAAATTTCTATTAATATGAGTGTTTTAATCAAAACATCAAGTAATGAAACATGGTAAAAGGAGGTTTCATCTTTTGAAGATTGAGTTTTACGGTGAAACATTGAATCTCAATCTTTGTGTTGAATAAAGTGTGGAGAACTTGAAGGAAGGAAAAGATACAAAAAACTGAGAAAAGCAAGATATTCCACATCTGTGGCTTAATTGAAGAGAATTGTTTTAATGGTTGGGGAATTATTTTTTTTTGAGAGCACGATGCAAGCTAATAAAAGGGAACAATTTTGTGTGCAGGTTTTTATGTGCTTGGTGATCAAATCCGAGTATGTAACCTATTTATGGATTACAATTGACAGTGAAAATAGCTATTTTTCTTTTATACTTGTGGCCATTTCAGAGCCTTTTTTAGTACCCGCTTAAAGCAGAAAGACTAATTTGTTTCCCGCACGCAGTATTGTTTTATCGATTAATTTTCAAAAGTCACAACCGAGTCTGACAGATTTCCGTAGTGTGCGTGTATTTTATCCCCGCTTCGCTTTTAGTTTCTGCTTCGTTAGAAGTCCCTAGCAGGCCGGAGCCAGCCGTCGAATCCGGACATATTTAGTGGTTACACCGGAAGTATATACCCGGAAATATGTTTACCTTCTGGGCAGGGACCACCGGACAAAGCCGGTGGATGAACAGCAGCCGGCTTTTTAAAATCCACCCCACCCTTGGTATTGTTTGGTTGCTTGTTTTGGAAGCAAATTAAGTCCTGGCGTGTTGGTATGCGATTGGTCATTGCTTGTTTACCCGTTTATCTTGCATTTTTAATTAACAACATCTCCCTGCTCTCTCCGGTCGAGTGAGTTCGCTTCTTCCTGACGGTGTCTATGCTCAGGTGTCCGATTGCTCACAAGAGTTGTTGTCCATTATGTGTCATCTACAGCTGAGGACATTGATTTTTGTGGCGTGGGTGCTGGGTTACGTCGTCTTTCTGCACTCCGTCAGGATGATATGGACGGCTAAGTACGCGCGGGGTCCACTGGCACGCTCACTTTTAGTGAATATGGTGAGCGAAGGGGAAGGAACAGCGATGGAGACGCAGGAGGTAGGAATTCTTATCATTGGCATGAGAATACGTCATCGCGCGGCGCAGAAAGGCACGCTCGGTTACCGCCGTTCGATTGTTACGGTGTTGAAGTGTTTATTTTTTTTTATTATGTTGTGTACTAAGACGTAAGAATTTACTGTTGGTGGCATGGGGGACGAATTATTTTTTACATCCACCCTGCAGTTCTGGGGTTAACGTTTGAAATCCAGGCTCTGACTCTCCCCTCAGTTCTTTTGTTCTTTTCGCTGCAAAGTACTGAACCATGTGTTGTTTTCAAGAACTTGGATGTTACCATCTTCCTAATTTGTCCCCCCGCAGTGGTACAAATGCTGCCCCGATCTGCTTGGGGAGTCTCTACGACCACTGTTTGTTGAGAGTCATCTGGATTCAGGCACCAAGGCTTTCCTCAAGCAAAGCATTGAGAAATCGAACTGGTTATTCACACAACTGTATCACTCCTTTGTTTCAAGTGTCCTTACCCCTCTGGTGTCACGCACTTCCATCAATGGGTGAGTCCATAAGTCCAAACACAGCGGTCCCATAATTTCATGTGAAGTCACTTTTTGATCTGTGTTATCCTCCTGCCCAGGTTTCTGGGTCGTGGGTCCATGTTTGTGTTTTCCGCGGAGCAATTCCAGAAACTTCTCAAGGTCGGACCAGACTGGAAGGCAGAGAAACTCCTGGACCTTGGAGCCGGTGACGGTGCTGTTACAGAAATTATGAGAAGCCATTTCAGAGAAATTTATGCTACTGAGGTCTCGCCACCGATGAAATGGCACCTGCAGAGGAGGAATTTCAAGTAAGGATTTGGAGGTTTCTTCTTTTCAATCCAGTGGTCCTCGACCGTTTCGCTCCTCTGTTAAATTAACCAAGTGAATAGTACTGCATCTTGAAAAATGTATTTCTGTATTATGTGAACTTGTATAGGTCTCTACATTAAAACAAGATAAGATGTCCTTTATTCAAATAAATATATATAAATTGATAATAATAATTAATATAAATTGAGGGTTCTTTTAGTGTAGCAGAGATTTTTCTATATTCTAGCGCTGGTGGCCTTTAACATTTTGAAGCATATTTTTTCAGGGTTCATTTTAAAACACACGGCGTAATTTGGTATGATTACAACAAAATACACACGTACCAAACCAACCTAAAATTGAGGCTTTTCGCCTCACTATACCTTGTTTTTAAAAAAAAAAAAATGCATTTAGTGCTGCTGTTGTGTAAATGTGAGCCAATGCTGCTAATTAAAAAAATTACTCTATGCGCTTCATCCACAGATTGCAGGTTGATGGGCATCGACGAGTGGCAGCGAAGCGGCCAGCAGTATGATGTCATCAGTTGTCTCAACCTGCTGGACCGCTGTGAGGATCCTCTCCATCTCCTGCGGGATATCAGGCGATCGCTCGTTCCCAACACCGGACGCCTCGTTCTTGCTGCTGTTCTTCCTTTCCAACCCTACGTGGAAGTTGGTCAGTTTAAGACAGTACAGATTACACTCGTACATTTTATTCAAACACCCACAGAGCTTTTTCTGTTATCGTTTGTCCTGCAGTCCTCTTCCAGAGAGAATTTCTTTTCAACTTTTACCGAGTTGTTTTCAAATAGGGAAATTCCATGTGATTTTTCTCAATCGTTCATCCATTTCTGTTTTTCACCAACTTTGTGTGGAAGTTGGTCAGTTTAAGACAGTACAGATTACACTTGTACATTTAATTCGAACATCCACAGAGCTTTTTCTGTTCTCGTTTGTCCTGTAGTTCTCTTACAGAGAGAATTTTTTTCAACTTTTACAGAGTTGTTGCCAAGTAGGGAAATTCCATGTGATTTTTCTCAATCGATCATCCATTTCTGTTTTTCACCAACTTTGTGCAATTTCTTGATAGGTGGGAGATGGCAGCGTCCCCAAGAGCACTTAAAAATACAAGGCAAGACATGGGAGGAGCAAGTCACGAATCTGTCACATGACGTCTTCCGAAAATCAGGATTTGAGGTAGAGACTGTGACCCGCTTGCCATACCTATGTGAAGGGGACATGTACAACGATTACTACGTTCTCGATGATGCAGTTTTTGTTCTTAAGGCGTCAAACGTGACTGAAGACTCTGGTCAGTGAAAAATGAATCTTGACCAATTTTGCCAAAATGAACTTTGAAAAGGTGGGTTAAAGTCAGTCAAAAGACTGACAAATATTTTTCTTGTTTTAAACAAAAAAGGGGTTGGAAGCGCCGGAATTATGTTTACCAAACATTTTGTGTGACTGTGATACCTCGCCATTTTAAAACAGGTCACTTTATTCCCATACCTCAAAACGGTGTACGGTGCCGGGATGGTACAGTAAGAGCTACACATCGCTATACTGTACTGTATCATGTTCTTGTGTGGGAAGTGTAAAAATTGTTTCTTTCCATATCAATGTGAAAAAAATCTTATCTAAATGCACATTTATTGACATGGTTTAAATGACTGATTTTATACTGATTTACATGATGCTAGTTATAAAGGTTCCCTCAAGTGAAACTTTTTTTTCACTGGTTTAAAAAAAAAAGCATGCATTGAAATCTAATTCATTTACTCATCATGTACAGATTCAAAGATAAAACCAAATATAGATTAAACTTTTAAATGTGCCATTATTGCTTCTTTTTGATGATGTAATATGAATCTACAAAATAGCAAATAAGAAGGTACCGGTACCATTTTGTCGCTGTCGGGCGGAAACCCAGTCTGTCCAAATATGTTCAATTTAATCTTTTTTCAACAATTCGATGCTCTTGAAGTTTTATAAAACTTTGCCTCTAACCTCACTTGGCAGAGTCATTCGACTTAGGAGGCACCTAAAAATGGAAAATATATTTTTAGACGATAACAAATGAGAATAGTTGGATTACATATATTTGAGAAGACATGTTTAGCTGCAATCGATTGCTGTAATGCTACGTTTGGTAACTCCAACAAGTTTTTTTTTTCCTGATTTGGTGAAAAGGAGCCACTTTAGAGATGCAAGAATTCCGCCCTACAACGGAATTTGTTTGATCAACTTTTGGAATGTTTACACACTTTTTGTTTGCGCTGTCAATGAACCAATGCTACCAACCCCATGGGAACACGACCAAGATTCCGAAGTTCCAATCATTGTTTATGTATGCACACAATATACTCACAAAACTGAGTACATCCCTCACATTT